GCAAAGCGGGGTGAAAAAAAAAATATATATATATATATAATATAGATTTATAATAAGAAAAGGTAGTATTCATTACTATTGAAGTATTTTAGAGCTTTTTACAATACTCAGATGATAGTATTTACCATAAAATTCTCTCTGTGTATATAAGATCTCATAGATTTATCGGATTCTATACATTTACTTTTTCATATTTTATAAGAATTTTTTCACTTCTTTCCATAATGGTTGCTAAAAAAATTTATTTTCATAATAGTAAAAAAAAGTTTGCATAATGGCTAACCCTGATAGCCATCTTCATATTTTCTCAGTATTTTTGACTTCAAGAATAGAGTGTGTAACACCTTTTTAATCTTTCAAAATTATTTAAAAAAGTTAAAAATTGAAATATTCTTAAATTATCCGATTTAAGATGAAATAAAGTTCTGCTATGAAGATAAGTATAGTGGTTAGACATCTCAAGAAATTGATTAAAAATAATCAAAAAAAAAAATATCAGACAATAATTACAGACATTATAAAATTTTCGATTTTGAAAATAAATTTATAAAATTTGAAATATTTTTTCGCGTTGAATTCAAAGCAAATATGAATCTTTTAAAATTGAAAGAATGATAGACTTCAGAATGGTTGATTTGGTGCAAAATATTTATTAGTAACTGACGAATCACAAACCTTAAAAGTTAAATTTCATTAAAAACGAACTTGTTATGACTTGATTCCTTGTTGATGTTGGTTATACGGAAAAATGCTAACCTATTAGAGTATGAAAAATTCTATAAGCAAATTTTATAAATTTATTTCCTGAATTCGATATCTTATATAAACTAGAAAATCTGAAAGTCAATTTAAATAGGTCTCTATCAAATTGAATTAAAATTGAGCAGTAGACAGAATACTTTTTTCGCGGCTAATAAACTTTACAAGCTAGCTATAGAATATTATACCAGTACCTTAATGCAGCCAGTTAATTAAAGAGTTAGATTAAGATTTTTTAATCATTTTTAAGTGATGCTCAGAAATCTGACAATTAATTCGATATAAACGTAGAGAAAGAGAGAGAGAGAGATGTTAATAAATATATTGATTGGTTTCAACCACTTTGCAGATCATAGATTCGTTTTTATAGTTCAAATACATTGATAATAAAAAATTCGAAATTTCGAGAACAATACTTTCTGCAGTAAACTCAGGTTCATATTATATACGATATTGATTTTATTTTCTTTTTTTTTATATATTTTAAACAGAAGAATGCATGTAATAAGATTCGTTTTGTTTCTTTGAGGCTTTCAAATAGGCTTCAGTATCGTGTGATCCAGTACTATTGCAACTCTAAATTAAGTTATAGATAAGCATTCATGTGCTTATGTTTTAGGTAACGATTTATTTCTTCAAAAACGAGAAGCAATACTTAAAAAAATAGTTACATACATGCCTACGTGTGTACATTATGTGTATAACATATATATGCACAATTGAAACTATTGATTACGTTTTTCTTCCACTGAAATAGGTCGCGATAATTTCTACAGTGAATAATATTGTTCACTTGAAATCTATCGAGTTAAAATGAATGAAGACGAATTTCCCGCATAATAATAAATAATTTAAGCTATAGTTGAAAACTTTAATTGATTAGAATTTGAAACAAATAATAATAAAAATATTCAAAGTTTTGTATCATATTTTGTCTGAACACTTCATAAAGATATTTATAATATTATAAGAAACTCACCCCCTCGTCAAAAATATTACACACATACAATTTATACAAGCTTCAATGTATAACTGGCTTGAAAATTGTGCCAGCAACCCTTATAAGAGCGCATCAGTTCTGCGCATACGCTACGCAGTCTCCGTATTCGCTCTTCATATTATCTACCGAGACCTTTATATCTAATAACCATGTTGATTTCGCCTACTTTGTAGTTCCTTAAGCGTTCGGGCTACACCTTCACAAAGCCTATACATATTGTCTCCTGGAAATGTTTCATGAAAGCATGAATTTATTTTCTTCTTAAAGATTTTTATAAGTGAATTTTTAAATTAAAAAATAATATTCTTAAAAATACACTTCAGTCTTGTCAAGCATAACTATCAGTATTATACACATATTAAGACTTAACGTCTATTTTATTATGCTGATATAGTTCACATTTAAGTCATACAATGCCAAAAAACAAAAACTGTTGTGACGTTCTGGCAAAAGATTTGAATTATGAATCGATAATTTATTTTAAATGTAATAAACGAATTTCTCGGAATTACATTCCAACGGAAATTTTAGACGATAAGAAGTCATCGCGGCCCGCGAAACGTTAATATACCCACGTCAGCATGGGATCCGGGCCTCGACGACGTTCCCGAAGTGTAACCTGAGCTCAACAATGGCTGCCACAGATCATTTTGTATAATTAAAT